CCCGTAATGAGTTCGGAGGTCTGCGAGGCAGATTCTAACAAAGTTCAACATTTGGATGGCGCCCATCAAGAAAAGGGTTATTACGGAGGCCCTGTCATCATACTCACCGTTTCTTTTGCAGTTTTCGCTGCTGTGTTGGCCATCATGATCTGTAGATTGCCGGCACTTCCTTCGTATGTTCCGTTGGTTTTACATCACCTCATTTGATAGAGAAAAGCGGGCAGATTTCAAGTTTCCGAAAAATGTTGAGGAGCTAAAAAGTCTGGGAATAATGTTATCTGAATACCAGGACACATATTATTGGGAGATTCTCATAGTTATGATTACAGCGTACATATTGTATCCTTTCGACATTTTTTGAAGTCCATATCTCTCTTCGCTCACATCGACGACTATCAAATTTCTCTTAGCTCCGTACTATTTGCATGATATTCATTGTCCGGTCGTTCGTGCGAAGGATAGTCATATAGGGTTCTGTCATCACTTACCTCTCAATTGGCTACCGAAGGGCTCTAGAGCCCAGATAATAGCTCTTATCTGTTCAGTGGAAGTGGAAAGAATACGAGCGAACCGCCGTTTGAGGCTGAGTTTCGCAAATTTCACAATTCGCAAGTATTGCGATGCATGTACGTGAGGTTAACAGTGCTCTGGCATTTTAGTTCACTAGGAAAATGCGAGAGTGCCGTTATATATTAGTTGTTTGTCACCATTGAGTACCCGCCAGTCATAACTTAACCATGTTCTCCGTTAGAGCCACCATGAACAGTTAATGCCGCAATACAAAAAACTTTTACCCAACTTACTCCCAGGGCACTCGAAAATTCCGCCGAAGTTGGTCTTCTGATAAATCCATGTAGCCTTTTTGAGCATAAGTTGATCGTCGCCATTTTATTTACTAAATGAAGCCCTATTCCGCCACCGATAATTGGTTTACAGATTCTGCTTATCATAGGGAATCAAATCACCACGTTTATGGCTTTATGCACAAATCAACCGAACACAGCAGTTCGAGAGTTTGCTCAAGTCCAAGTTTTTAATTTATTTTTTTCTGAAAGCGGTGGGTGTTTCTTAGCTTTCAAATCTATCCAAGCGTCTAAATGTAGCACCTTAACTGAGTTATGTAGCCTCCAGTCCTTCATGATTCCGGGCTCTGTATTCATGAGCATACTTCTGGGCTACTTATTTCCGTTTCCCTTGGCGTTGGCACTAGTATCCTTTGTAAGTAACTAATTCGTAACTCATGCCGTCTATCACCAGTGTTCTGCTGTGGGTGCAACCTGCTGCTATCTCTTGGCGGGATTTATTGGATCAAAATTGTTGACTTATCTAATTCCGAAAGAAATTGAAGAGTGCCGAATGCTGGTAATGTTCTACCGTTGCATTTCATATGATTATCCTAGATACAGCGGTATCGTCACGCAATGTTTTTCTGTATATGCCTCTTGCGCATTTCCCCTCTCATACCGAACTGGTTGGTGAATGTGTCCTCACCGATAGTGGAGATTCCGATTCTGCATTTCTTTTTGGGCACGCTTGTCGGTGAGTGTCACTGTAGTTAATTCATTTGTTATTTGTCACTTTTCATAATCATAGTGTTTTATTTTGTTCTAATTTCAATTGTTTTCAACGGTGCATCGTTATTAGGGGTTTTCCTAAAGGTGATGGCCCGGTGGATGGAGCAGAAACTTGGCCATTAACAAAACAGGGTAAAGATAAACTGTCGGTGCTTGAACACCGCTGTCTACGCAGCATTGCAAGAATTTGGTGGGATAGCCGGACAAGTAATGCTGGGGTCAGGCGTAGAATTTTATGCAACCGCGGTTGCCCACTGGAGCAAGTGGTCGACCGTCATAGATTACGTTGGTTGGGGCATGTGTTACGCATGTCACCAAATAGGTTGTCATGGCGAGCGATGTTTGCCGAGGCAGGTAGTGGATCAGGTAGTGGGTGGTCAAAGTGAGATCTGGCATGAGGGTATTCTAACCCTAACCAGGAGCCTGGGTCACATAGGTCCGGTTAGGCTCCTTGGATGGTGACCTCGGGATGATCTGAACCAATGGTTAGAGACACTGAATGATATGGTTGAGTGTCGTAAACAGTGGTGTTCCTGCATCTCAATTTCTCTGTATCATTAGTCCACTGAACTTCCCAATTTTCTCTTCGATCCCACTTTCAGCCTTTCTGTTTTCCTCCTTTTGTTCATCCAAATGGGCAGCCAAAAAACAGCAATCAAGAGCGACGCACGGAAGTGCATGCCTAATGGCTGTTTAAACTGAACCGATGGCCCGGTGGTAACTTCACCAAATTATCACCCCGGAAAATGTCCGTTCAAATCCCAACACCGTTGCCTGACTTTCCCAATTTGTGTTGTATGGCAGCCGTTTAATTGTTCGCTCCCCCTCCAAAAATTGTATCATAGTGTATTCAATTGAAGAAAAAAGGTAAAACTCAGGATAGTGTGTACCTCAAATTCACCCATAACTAAGGAACAAAGCAGGAAACTAAAAAATCCGCTGACTTAGTGAAGAATTAATTTAAATACTTAGCAGTTGCCAGCTCAATACGAAGTCTATTTGGGCCTTGTGTGATTCACTTCATCCTCAGGGTTTAGGTTTCCGGTGACCATTAGTCGAGCGTGTTAAACGTGAGGTTCATCGACGATCCGTCTAACTTCCAACTTGCAAGTGCTTTCCCATCTCTGGGCAGTTGATTCTTTATTTCTCTTCTATGGTTACCATTTTGGTTTCTACCTTTCTGAATTCACTTCAGTGGTTTCAATCCCCATGCCTTTTTCTCGTCCATCTCGTTCTCATGCGGGCACTCACCCTTATCAGGTTTCTGTCCCCAGATGTCGAACCTTTATCTTCTATTCGTCTTTTTCCCACAAGAAAGTCTTCAAAACTCTTCCCATCTACGTGTTTCCAAGCACTAATAACCTTTTCGAAAGCATGATTAACAAATATCCCCCCACACATTCCCTCTCACAGTATGCATGGGTTTACCCCTTTTGCTGTAAATCACTTTGTGTGTAATAAAAAGCGAGTAAGCGGTAGGTTCTCATAACTGTGATTTATTCGTGCTCTTCGTCACAGGGCTGTGTTTAATTAAAAAGAATATATCTTACGGTGGCTCATAAAACTGCATAAACTTTTCATTTTTACTAGGAATCACCAACAGCATGTACTCACCCAATTCAGTGGGATTTGAACCCGGCCGTGCAAAGTTGTGAGCTCCACACGTTACTGCCAGACTAACCGTCGAAGGTTTCATGTCAGCACTGAACAATGTTGCACCCATCCGTCTTTGTTTGTCCACCTAGAAAAAGATTGCCTATATTATCCCCGGCGATATTGCCCAGTGAGGCAGTGCTTCCATCTCGGCGAACCTTCCAATACCAGAATCTTCCTCTTGAGCTACTATCACTCAGCATTATATCCATCCGTACAGCTCTTGTGATCAGGATTACTAGTGACCTTCTTAACTCATTCAGCTTTAGCACATTAAAGATACACCTTGAAGGTAGGAGGACTGTTCCACACAAGCCGGTGAACGGCAGTTGGGTTTATCCGTCTTCTCGGAAAGTGAGGAAGTTTATTCCCAATATGAGCTTAAATAGAAAACAGCAGTACAGTTTTGAAGAATTTATTTCGGTCAGATTTTTGCTGTATCTCCCCAGAGTCATGCTGTAATCAAAATTTAAAAAAATAATTTACAGTCCTGGTCGATTGTTGTTAAAATTGCCCATTTTTATGGTGACAGAACGAAGGTTATCGGTGACTTGGTTGCAAAGCTCAGGTTTTCGTCCCTGCAAGCCCAGTCAGTCGAGAGCATTGCGCGAATAATAAGAAATAAACTGACATTTCTATTTGACATTGATAGCTCGAAGTGGGAACAAGGTATAAGACGCGGTGTCGTAGATGATTGTTAATCATGCGTGAAATGTGTCCTAACAAGCGAAGCCTATGAATCTTAATTGGATGCGATAGCTAATTTGTTCTCCGTAAATTCCCAAACATGACGACTTGCCTTTGAGTTAAAGTAGAATGATGCGTATGATCCGATTTACTGAACATGAGCCTCCAGTGGATTGTGGTTTTCACACACCGCCCCACTGCCTTGCGGATCAGGCTCCGGTTGTGAATTCCTCAAGGAAACTTACCTGCTTTGGCCTGGGTAACCTAGCAGCACCCTCGATCAAATCGTGGTCTTTTTTTGCTTTTTATGAATATTATTGTGCCGTGAGTTGTTTGGCACAGAATCCGAACTCAGATGTGTGCACAATATTGTCCACCTTTTTAAGTGAAATTTCACGTCCCCAAAGGTGCTTAAGTCCTGTGTAAGCTGCTCGAGCTTGGGAAATCCTTTACTACGCTACCATTTTTTTTCACGCAAATGCCCACGTAGGAAAAACAATCAAGTTCAATTCATTGCTATCCTTGATTTGAACTAACTATTCTTCGAACTTCACCTTCACTCACAATCCTCAATTCATATGCTCGGAAACACTACACTCAAGTTTCGCTCCTACTTGAGCTCATCAGTAGTATATATCCACCCTCCCGTCCGGGCTTTAAACTCCGGATCGATCGCGTAGAAGTCGTGTATGTTATGTTGCCAACCAGCTCATACCAGGGCTAAACCGAATTGCTAATTCATGTTTGTTCAGGTGTCGTCTTCAGTGATAGTTAGTCAGTTCATTTGGTCTCGACGACAACAAAGGGAGGCACAGTTGATTATCTTTTTCCTTCAATCTAATGTCTCCCATCAAATGATGCTGGTTACTTGCTAACATTTTGATATTACACACCAATGAACAGCAG